AATTATTGGAAACAAAGAAAGAAAACTGTAGAACTAAATTGTAGAGTTTTTGACGAAGAAAAAAATCTAATTTTATCATTTTACGTCTTTCTTATAAGACTAAGAAGTTGAGAAAATTCTGACATTCTTATGCTGTGGAACTAAGAGTTATATGATGTCAGCTGACACTATGTCCTCGAACAAACGTGTAACATTTCAAAACAAATCAATTACTACATATTAGTGTGTTCCAACTAGATGTTGAAAAGCCTTGCCGATAGAGATTTTTTTTTAAATACGAAATTTTCAGTATCAGAGGATGTTCTAAGATGGAAAGAATCATCTCCAGAAAATTACTTTAGTAATACTCCAGCAGGACTGAGCTACAAATTTGCACAAACGGCTTGAAACCTAAACAAAAATTTTTACATGCATTAATTTGAAGGCAGACGTGACAGGTGCCCATCTAAGGCATATTTTCATGCATATGAAGCGGTGATTAGAGCTATGCCAAGTCCTAGGACCACACTACACGCCTTGATTTTCGAGCTCTATAATTTCAGTACTTTACGCTTTGTTAGGATCTGTAGCCTTTGTGGTTTCAGAGAAGCCAGAGGCTTTTGGGCTACTTTTGAGGATCTACAGACAAGTGACAATTTTCCAATAAAAAATCTCCAATTCACAAGAAATTCAAGGTCTGCATATCTTTGCATATCCACCGTAGCAAACGTGGACACGCATGAACATGAATAATTGTGTTGTATCAGACGATATCGGCGAAAACAAAACCCAAAATTAGACAAATTCGTGAGAAGATGTCATCTGCGTGAGCGTACTTATATCAGCTCGACACTGACATATTGAAGAATTGACTGCCTTGATTTGAATTTATGTGCTTCCGAATGAGCGCTCGCAAACCAATCACGAAAGAAAGATATGCAGACGATAGGCAGCGTGTAGTATTTGTAGTGTTCGGTAGTATGTACAAGGGACTTCCATTGGCAACCGATGTGTAGCTTAATATGTTTATTGGCTAATATGATCTCATTCTTCCAAGTTGAACAAGGAGAACTCGAATGCACTGTAATATATCTCAAAGTATCGCAACAATTCATTCAATGATTCACCTCCGACATTATGGTTAGTAAAATAAAGGTTCGGCAACTCCTTTCCACTGGAAACTATGCTGCCAAAAAGATTACATTTTTTATCTTGCACGACCGTAGACTGTAGAAAAATATCGAATATAAACCAATAAACAGTCATAAAGGTCGCTAAACTTTGTTTCAAATCAATGCGAAATCATACTTTTGAGCTCAAAACAAGCGTTACTAAGAAGATTGATTCTGTTGAGAGATAAATAAAAAAAAAGCTCAAGTTTTCAAGGAAGAATCTTACTATTACAGAAACTGATTTCCAATCTAAATGCTTCGTAAGAAAAGAAGCATATATTTATAAACATAAGTTTAGCATCTTCTATTTTTATATTGGTTATCCACATCCTTGAGCAAACAAGGGGGATGAGGTAACTGAAAAGCAGTAGTTAAAAGGGTACAAATTTTGCTAC